TAAAAGGATTTACCTGATGAACTGGCCGTGACAAGGTGCAAAGAGAAAGACGAGGATCACTCCTTCGTGTCTGACTTGGGTAGATGACAGTGACTTTCATGGAAAGGCAACATGGGGCCATTTAGGAATTGTCTTTGAATTGGAAATTTCCTATCATATTAGGTTACTTGCTCCCCCTGGACCCCGAAGCTAGCTCTGTGTGCGCCTCATCACGAGGGCATGCTCTTCCAGGAAACAAACACAAGTTCACAGTGAATGCAAGATTATTTTTATTGGGGTTCCAGGGACATATAACAAAGCCTCATAAAATGCCAACAAAATCATATTCTGTGCTTGGCTACTTTAAAAAACCCTGTTTATTTATGAACTCATTGAACGAGCACTGGGTGAAATAAGGCCAATAGCCATTTGGAAAACAGGCCGAGCTCAGCCATGAGGAGCTCTAAGTCTGACAATGCCAGGTGTCTAAGAGGAGATGTGCAGCATCTCTTATTGGGTGTCCCAAGCGAGATGCTGGTCCTGAAGTGGACCCCACTTCACGGGTTCCTTCAAGACACACTGTGTTTTGAATCTCTGTGTCATCCAGCTGACCATTTTATTTATTTATTTTTTTAAAAAATGTATTTTTTTGATTAATGAGAGGAAGGGAGAAGGAGAGAGATAGAAATATCAATGATGAGAGAGAATCATGGATCAGCTGCCTTCTGCATGCCCCACACTGGGGATTGAACCCACAACACGGGCATGTGCCCTGACTGGGAATCATCAAACCATGACCTCCTGGTTTGTTGGTCAATGCTCAACCACTGAGCCACACTGGCTGGGCCAGCTGACCATTTTATTAATCATTACTAAATGCCAACTAAATGCAAAGGGACTGGTAAAGAAGAGTGAAATTTCCTTAATTCTAGGTTTTTATGGCTGAAGTATTCTTGAGTTGATACATGGATAACTGAGGATTAAAATAGCAAATAACCATTGACATTTTTAAAAATTGAAGGACTATTGAAATTCATATGTAAATATTCATGCAGAAGCACTTATTAATACATACTGTGCACGAAATTTTTTAAGAAAATACTTAGAAGATTAGATTTGTTTAGGTGAACTAAGATTTCAAGTACCTTAAGAATATCATTGAATATATTGCACATAATAACTTGGGCCATTATATGATTGTTTTTTAATCTTCACCCAAGGATATTTTTTTCCATTGATTTCTAGAGAGATTGGAAGCATAGGAGGAGGGGGAGAGAGAAACATCAATGTGAGAGAGATACCTTGATTGGTTGCCTCCCGCTTGCACCCCTACTGGGACTGGGGAACCTGCTACCAAGGTGCCCTTGACCAGGAATTGAAACTGTGACCCTTTGGTTCATGGGCTGATGCTCTAACCATTGAGAAAACTGGCCAGGGACCATTGACAGTTTCTGGATCTAAAAACGATAGTTAGTTCACAGCTAGTTCTTTTTCACATTAACCTGGGAAGCCAAAGAGGTGGTGCAAAATTGAAACAATCTACTAGGTACAAGGCTCCCAGATATCTGAGATAAAATGTTTCCACTAATCAAATTCAAGTTCATGACTGGTTTCGGCAGGGCGGGTGGCTCAGCCTCTGTGATTAGCCTGGGGGAACGTAAATGTATGGTCTCCATGAGCCCCTCTGTCTCACCTGTGGAAAAGGACGTAGCATTAACTGACCTTTAATCATTACTAACCCATTTTTTTTTCATTTCAAGAATTTGAGATTCTATGCAGACAAAATTGAAGAATCTCATCAAAGTCTGGCAAAAGAAGAAGAAAAAAAGCCTAAAATATTGATACGCTCTCTTCCCCAATTATTTCAATTTTCTATTAGGAAAATACATTCTATCACTCTAGTGTAACTTAACCAGAAATCTGAAAAATTTGAAGGGATAATCAAATGAAATAGCTCTTTGTTTATCACAAAAAAATATCAAGTAGTAATGTAATGATTGCAATATTGCAACTTCAGGCCTTAGATCAGGGATTTCAACCTGTTTCATCTCATGGCACACATAAACTAATTACTAAAATTCTGCAACACACCAAAAATAGATCACATATTTTGCCAATCTGAGAAAAATATAGGTATAATTTTGATTCATTCACACTGGACGGCTACCATTGTTTTGGCTGTCATTTTTTAACTTGACAATCTAAGGGGAAGGAGGGCAGTGCCCTGACTGACTAGTCAGGTGTTGCATGGTTTACACATCCTGGCAGTGCGACGGCTGGAAGTCGCGGCCTTCGGCTGTGAGTTTTACAACTGCAATTCTGGATGTGAACTCTGTATTGGCTATTTAGCAAGTTACTTAACCTCATTAAACCTCAGTTTTCTTAATCTATAAAATGGGAATAATACCTCTTTTGCTGAATTGCTGTGAGGCTTAAGTGAGCCAACATAAATGCTTAACATATAGTGAGAATTCAATAAATACCTATTATTATTAGGTTAACAGAATAATCACAAGCTCTCATACTATTCCCAGTCACTCTATTGCTTTAATGGCAAAGAAATACAATTGTAATTCTAGGCAACACCTGGGATGAGACAGCTGCGTGTGCGTGTGCGTGTGCATTTGCTCTCACAATAATGCATCTAAAAGACACTCTTTCTCCTTTCTTTCCATTTATCTAATTCTCTAACATCCTTTAAGACTCACTTCATAATTTTCTCTTTAGGGGGACTTTCTTCCCTGAACAGACCAGTTTTATCCTGCTTCTGCTGACCTCCTCGGAGTTCCTTGTTTAAATCATTTGTTTTGGGTTGGGTTTGGGTCTTGCCACCTATTGACCTGAGTTGTTATTTATCTTTTCAAAAGCTTATGTCCTTCTGTCTGACTGGATTTACTGGTTAGAAGCAGTGACTGTATCTCACAGGTCCTAGATTGCTGAATAAAAAGAATGGTTGCTTGGTTGGTGTCAGGCAGGATAACGTGGTATTTCTATGTTGCGTTATGACTTCCCCCCATTATTTTACCTTTTGGATTGCCTCTCACTGCTGTTATTTCAAGAGTACTTTATATTCTTTAGGTCACTCTTAAGGTCACACTTTGTGTGTGGCTAAAAATCAATCTACTTAGAGCATTAGTGTTCCTTAAAATATTAACACATTTGTGCAATTTCTATTTTAAAAATTGGTGCATTCATAAGCAAATTTATAGTAGGAAGACTTAAAAAAATGTCACATTAAATTTAAATTCAAGCAGAGGAATACAAATGAGGGAGGAAATGTTTTTGGCTCATGAAAAATCTAGATGGCATGAGCTCTGGCCGGGTAGCTCAGTTTGTTAGAGTGTGGTCCTGATATGCCAAGGTTGTGGGTTTGATCCCAGCCAGGGTACATACAAGAATCAACCAATGAATGCATCCATAAGTGGGACACCAAGTCTCTCTCTGTGTGTCTGCCCGTCTGTTTCTCTCCCCCAAACCCGCCTCTCTCTCTCTCTCTCTCTCTCTCTCAAAACCAATTTTAAAAAATCTAGATGCCATTCTTAAGTTTCTCTGTTTCTTGAAGGGATTGCCACGTGTTGTAAGAGTGTGTTGCTGAGCTGAAACCGGTTTGGCTCAGTGGATAGAGCATCGGCCTGCGGACAGGTCAAGGGCATGTACCTGGGTTGTGGGCACATCCCCAGTGGGAGATGTGCGGGAGGCAGCTGATTGATGTTTCTCTCTCATCGATGTTTCTAACTCTCTATCTCTCTCCCTTCCTCTCTGTAAAAAATCAATAAAATATATTTTTTTAAAAAAGAGTGTGTTGCTGAGCTGGAGAGGTGTCCTCAGGTGATGACTTTGTTTCAACTTCTGAGTGGCCTGGGCATCCATGGGCGGCTCTCTCTGTGGTCTTTGAACCTTCCTGAGGGCCATAGGACCAGCTGAAAGGAACATCAACACAACTAAAAAACACAACAGAACATGTCACAGAAAGTCATCACATTGAGTATTCAATAAACATAAATACATACAATGATACTTTAGCTCCCTGCTATTCCTATCTATGTGAAGACCGCATCACCAGGAAAATGTAGCCCTTTCTTATTGTTCCCCTGGCTCAAGACCAGCCACAGCTCTGTGGGCCTGTGTGAGGGCACCATGCTAATCCCCCTGGAGAAAATGCTCCATAAGAAAAGCTTCAGGTGAATCCCACAGGCAACTTACTGAAAAAGGGCATGCAGAGAACCAACAGCAGGACATTAGGGACACGTTCAAATAGCTAAAGAGTAAATGCAACATAAAATAACTGTGGGTACATAAGTCCTCAGCGATGCAGGAATGATTGAAGCCACCAGAGTTGCTAGGAGTTAATGTCAATTCCTGTATTTAAATTTATAGTGCCTGGCTCATGCCCAATAGAGGAACAAAAGGAAGAAAGGAAGGAAGAAAGGAAGGGGGGAGGGAGGGAGAAAAGAAAAAGAGAGAGAAAGAATGAGGGAGGAGGGCAGGAAAGAAAGCAAGAAATAAAAGAAAGGTTTCTGAGGTGTGGAAGAGGCAGAGGCATCTAGCGTACAGAGAGGAAAAACAGCATGCGAGCAAGTTCAAAGACTTGGAAGCCAGGGGAAACAGGCTTGGTTAATTTAAAAAAAAGATGATATATTTGAGTGGTTTTAGAAAGTGGGGCAAAGCAAATTTCAGGAGTTTTGAACATATTAAGATTTAATTTTAGAAGTGTGGTGTGTTAATATAACTATTGTAGACTTTTGAAGGGAATATTAACATGATTCAAATAAATCAAGTGGAAAGGGAAAGGTGAAATTCAAAGATGTCAGCCCAATGAGAAAAGCAAACCATATAGCAAGAAATTAAATGAAGGCATAGGGATTAAAGAATATGCTCTTAAAATAGAGAGACTGTGGAATCTCAGAGGGAAGGTGGGGGTGGGTGGGTGAGTGGGAAGAGATCAACCAAAGACCTTGTATGCATATATGCATAACCCATGGACACAGACAATAGGGTGATGAAGGCCAGTGGTAGGGGTTGGGGGCAGGCTAGAAGAGGTCAATGGGGGGAAAACGGGGACATATGTACTACTTTCAACAATAAAGATTTTTAATAAATAAAATAGGGAGGCAGGTACTTGTCTGGGTTTCTTCTATGCTTACGTTGCAGGAAGTGGGCTTAGAACTGAGAGCATTTTTCATTCTCCAGCTGTTCCTCTCTCTGCCACTGCCTTTCCTAAAAATGAACTTTACTGTTTTAGCATCAAAACAACTACATGTTAGTAAACACAGTACCTGGAGGTGGAATTGAATATAACTTTAAAGGACAAGTCTTAATACAATACCTCCGGAGTCAAGGGCCCCAGCGTGTTCTGTACCTCTACTTTAGAGCAGCTTCACAAGTTCTCGGAGCTACAAGAGTTAGAGACCAACGAACCCATCCCACGCATTTTACAGATCAGAATGTTTGGGAAGAGCTGTATTAATATTTCTTTTATTACACAATAGATGTTATGAATGAAGTATACTTTGCAGGTGGATTTTAATTTAACTGAACCCTTTATTGTCAGCCTCTTCATTAAGCTCACACACTGAGGATGCATAATGACTTAGGTACGTACACCAAGAGATATTCCACCTCCTGTCACTGCTTTCTGCCCTAGACACTTGGGATACATTAAGACCTTGGCTCTCTAGATGGCAAGTATAACATACATTTGCTCCGGAACCTGTAAAGTAACCTGCTGCTGTTAATAGGTATTTTTCTGTTCTGACCAAGCATGCAAGAATGGATCCTAGATGAGTAGTTAAGTAAAATATGCATCTTACAGATTTCAGAATTCATTATGTTGTGAACACAGAGTGGAGGGTGGGGTGCTAAGCTTTTGCTACATGTATGGTAGACTTATTTGTGAATAAATTAAAATGCTATTGTGTTAAGGAAAGATGTTTCGCACTATTTTTTACTCCTTTGGGTAACTTAATAGAAAGCCCAGATGAAAAGTAAACCAATGTATTGCTTTGGTGCATCATAGATATAGCCCACAGAAATGTCTCTTTTAGAATATGGACCCCTCTTTTAAAATAAATTTGAAGAATTATAAATAAGTAAACCACCATATTCTAGGTGTGTATTATGAGTCAAATGCTTAAATCAGCTTTCCTTGGCGTCCATGCCTACTTAATTGGGATGAAGTCAGACCCTGTGTCATCTCAGCATGAGCATCCTTTGGAATCTGGTCTCCTGAACATATAAACATAAACTGGGGCCCTGGCACTGGTTGCTCAGGTGCTTCTGTGACCTGACTGTGATGAGTCTTCTGATTTTCATCAAGAGCATCATCACCGCCCTGACCGGTTTGGCTCAGTGGATAGAGTGTTGGCCTGCGGACTGAAGGGTCCCAGGTTCGATTCTGGTCAAGGGCATGTACCTTGGTTGCGGGCACATCCCCAGTGGGGGGTGTGCAGGAGGCAGCTGATTGATGTTTCTCTCTCATCGATGTTTCTAACTCTCTATTCCTCTCCCTTCCTCTCTGTAAAAAATCAATAAAATACATTTAAAAAAAAGCATCATCACCTGTGCACATAGCAGGTGGCAGTGGCAGGCAGACCAGTCGCTGCTGCTGCTTGGCCTAGGATCCTCCCTAGTAGCAGATCTTCAGGGCTCAGCTCTACGGAGAGGGAGTTGTAGCCCAAGAACCCACTGCACTGAAACACCCAAAGGTGCTGGGGCTTCTGCGATCCCAGGCAGAGTCTCAGTTCCTAATCACGTGCCATGCAAAATGGAGGAAAATTATTATTATGAGTTTGATTACTTTGATCAGGTTAAAATTATTATCTCTGCCTAAGACCATTTCCCTGACATGTTATCTCATTATTTAAATAAAGGAAATGAATTGCGTATGACTAATATTTACTATTCTAGTGTTCTTCCTTACTTCAAATTATCCAAAGTTAGGATGAAGATTAAAGCAGCAAATATTTTACAAATAATGCAACAGTCTCTGCAATGACGACTCTTTCAGACACGATTAATTGCCAACATCGAGGTTACACACAAGCATCCTTGCATGAGAACACAGATCATAGAGTCCTTTTATTCTTATGTTAATTAACAAGAACAATTTTTAAGTTGACTTGAAAAACATTCTACTCAGGATCCATGTCAAATGATGAGAAATGCCAAAGGGAAAAAAATCTCAAGTAGGCAACATGTAAAGCAACACACAACTACATGCACTTTAGTATAATTACATGTTGCAAATTATATTGGATGTATCTAATATCTAATTTTTTGAAAGCTGATTCCACTTGAGATTTCAATAAGAGCATCAACATTTTGCAGGTGGCTCCTTCTGTATAGTATTCAAAGGGAATTATCCCTCTTATATGCTTACAGCTCTCAAGTAAAAGCGGAAGTTCTCCGTAAAGGCCAATGAACAACAGACCCTGGGAATATAACCTTGATAGATAAAGCTCCACCAAATAGAATATTCAACATGGTTATTTATTCTGTTCCTTCTGTGCATAGTATCCTTATTTGCTTCAAGCAATAAGAAAAAAAATCTGAACTACAGGCCTCATTATAGAATGTGGAGAAGGCTTCACGTATATTCTGCAGCAATTATATGAAAATCTAAGGGGTTCACAATTTTTCAGATGATATTTAGATCAACTGATAAAAGAAATGTGCAAGTGAATGGCAGATTATATCTTTGAAAAGAGAGAGCCCTGCATTCAATTTTGTTCTTATAAAATGTCTGATCAATTTGCCCTAAAGAGGATGCCAGAGCAAAGCTCCATTTTGAGAACCAGGCTTTGTCCTCCTCTTTCTGTGTGACTCAACCAATCAGATAACCAAGTACATTTGTGATCTTGGGAAACAGGGCATATTATTCAAGTTGGCCGGATCCATTTTCTTGATTCCTCCTGAAAGATCTGTCTGCTAATTAGGGTTACTATTTAAATGATTTAATTCACTGCACTTTCGTGAAATGCAATGTGTTGTCATATCACAGACTTTATCATGCTGCCGCTGTTCACCGAGATGCCTCTGTAGTTAGCAGTTTCCTTTGTTCTGCTCAGTAAGTGATTTTAGGAAGGGGATGGGCCCGGAAGGAGGAGCCTTGGGGTTTGCAAAATAAAATCATACATTCCTGGTGCACATGCAAAACTTTGTGTATTTCCATGAATTCCTTTTTAGAAAATAAATTACAATTCCATCTGGAATAAGCTAAGGGGCACATGCCGGTGACTTTAAATGAAACCCAAATGATCCGACCCCACCTCACACACCTCTCTGGTGTGCTTCCCACTGCAGTGCAATGATAGAACAACAATTTAATTTTTTTTTAATCAGCAAGGAATGTCTTTAGCAAGGAAGAAGTAAATTATGATAATTACTCTGAATAGTCAGATCCTTGAGCATTGTTAATTAGCATTTATTGCCTGGATTATGGAACAATACACGAGAAACTGAACGGCAACTGCTCTTTTGCCATGAGGAGCTGGGAAAGGCAGCGGGGCAGAAAGGCAGCAGCATCAGCAGGTGAGTCAGAAGTTCACATCCTGGATCGTGCGCAGAATCCCTCACCTTCAAATACGCATACGTGGTCCTCAATATAGTTAGCTTATTTATTTTTGGTGTTAGCCGAATATTTACATATGATATCATAGTCATGGGAGACTAAGGGGTGGAGAAATATTTTCGCTATGATGTCACCTGGGGGCAATTTTATCCATTGTGAGAGTTCAACACTAAAGAGAATAAAACTCACCATTTAATAAAAGTGTGAATTTCCCTGCAGAAATTTTAACTTAAAAAGGAAACAAAGAATTCAGTTCTTGGTGGATAAAATTTTACATTCACCTCCCCATTTCATTTAGTTAAAAAGAACTGAGAAAGGGTCATTCATTTCTGACTTGAGAGCCTTTTTTCATTAGTAATTTGTAATAAAGTAAATTCTGAAATTAGAAATAAATTAGATATTAATTAGCAGACCAACATCAGCCATGTAAATAAATGACACTCTTATAATTTGGCAACTGCAATTCCTAAATACCCTGCAAGGCAGAAGAAAAAAAGAGGAAAAATGAACTATTCATCATTCTCACTGCAGTCTCACCATTTCCCCACCTCATTGCAGTCATTGAGGAGAAAGAAAGATAGTAAAATACGAAACCAGTGACAACAACAGCCACAAGTCTTCCCAAAACCTGCATGGATCCCCTTCCTGGATCCTTTTAGTTTGAAAAAATAAGTTTGACTAAATGTGTGAGGAGATTAAACAGACTGGTGGTAAACATTAATTCTGCTGAATGAGCAATGCTTTGGGATTGCAGAGATGCAAATGAGATAATACTTTTCTTTTCCTTTGACATACCAAGGAGATTAGTTTAGAACGTCAAATTTGATTTTGTTAGAATATATTAGCAGTGTTTTAATTAATACCAATTAAACCCTTTCTTTCCCTGGGGCTTGATATATTCCTAATGCTTTCTAAATCCTCTGTCTTTTATCCATCCACCTCCCTCCACCCCTCCAAATCACCAAGCCTTTGTTACAGTCTTCATACTTTTACTGTATTCAACAGAAAACTACGAGCTGCTTGCCTAGAGGTGTCTTGCCCATAAAATTACTTCCCAGTTGCTAGATTTAAAATGAGCCCTGTTCATTAGTACAGTTGATTTTTTTTAAAAAAGGTGTGATTAGAGACTCAAACATAAACATTTTCTGTGTTTTTCTTTTGGGGAAAACTGTTGCAAAAGGAGTTTTGGCTGGTTGGCACCACTTGGCTTCATTCTCACTAGAAGCTTCCTATATTTTCAATGGCATTGGCTTTGAGCTGGAACTTCTTAGGAAACATGCAAAAAAGGAAAAAATGGGGGGGGCGAGTTAAATATGGTGAACCATGTGCTCTGGACTGAACTGTAACTGTGTCCACGGAGGTGCTGCGTGGCATTTCACTCATTATTCCTCCCTCTCTCACTTCCTGTCTTTCTTGTCCCAAAGCTCCAGTTCACTTCTTTCTCTTTTCTTCCTGCAATGCACTCCCCCCCCCCCTGCAATTCCCCACCTTATTTTTTTTTATCTGCAAAGCTGGATTTGCACTTTTAAAGATCAGTATCCATAATGCCCTGCTTGTTTCGGTTGCACTCTCTCTTTAAAAGACAGCCCCTCTAATTGATGCGTCTGGGCTAGTCTAGACTGGTAGTGATTGAACCACCACCAATTATGTTATTCATTTCACTGAACTTCACTGATGGGCTCAGTGAGGAAGAAGGGGTGTTGAGAAACCTATCCTTATACTGAAGCAGTTCCCTGCTGAAATATAAAATCTTGTGTGTTGTTATGCACTCCTAAATGCCTTGTGACCAGTTGTATAATAGCAGCCTCAGAACATGAGCAATCCACTCGAAAACATGCAAAACACCAAGAGAGTTCCTCAGAATACAAGCTGTATCACTTGGATTAAATTACTATCCGGTTATAATTTAAAATCACAGAAGACTGATATCTAGCAGATTTTTCTTGACCCATGCATACGTTTTCATAAAATTAACTGCAGATATATTTTGACTTTAAAAGGCATCACATGTTTTAAACATTTGACATGAATCATGGGGTAATATAGATGCATAAATTAAAGAGATGCCTTTCCATAATTTCCAAATACCTATGCATACACATTAGCTACGATGGGGGAAATCATCAATCCCGTCTATACAAACCAAAAAATGACCTGAAAAATCAAATAACTTTTCTTTGAAACACATTCAGACTATCAACGGCTGTAGAGTAATATTGAAATATTACAAGTACACAAGAGGTTTCAACAAAAGACATGGCACAATTGTTCCACAGTTCATCCTCTCAATTCAGGTTGCTGATACAAAATGGTTCCTTGACTATGATTTAGAGTCAATGACTAAAATTGCAATGAATATTTAAAAACAAAACAAAACAAAAGACAGGGGAAGAAGAGTTTCCTTCACCTTTAACATGCACAAACAAGTTACAACCAATATAAAGTCTTTAAATGAAGAATGCATTTGAATTTGGGATTGATTTAGGTATTTTTAAAAAATAGAAGACAAATATTGGCCCAAGAACGCTAAAATTGTTTAAATAAAATTATATATTGGAATTTTTCACAACAAAGAAAGATAAGTCACAGTTTCTCTTTTCTAACTATGATATATATCTAAATCACTGAAATTATTCTGTTACAAAATGTCACATTTTCAGAAAACTGCAAACTAGGTAATGCTAACAATTACCTCAAAAGATAATTTTAAATGTATGGTTTTGTGTTATAAATAACTACATTGGATTGAATTAAATTCCTGATAATTTCCCCCAATTTTTACACAAAGAATAATATGCATAGTTAATCCTAAAGGATACGCTATTTTTTGTGTGCATCCTGTTATTTTCTTCAGTATATATCATACATTTCCAATCCCTATTACTTTTAAAATCATCATATTAAAATAGTAGCCAAGCAAGGAGGCTATATATCGCCTTTTATTTTATTTAAGATCTTGCAAAGAAGTACGAATTTAGTCTTTTTAACACCAAAATGCCACCCTTCATCTAGAATAAGGAGAGTAAACATTTTAGCCTTTGGCTATATTAGCCCAGATTATTGGTTCACCACTATCTATGCCTGCGCTCACTATCCAGCCATGTATGGTACACATGTGTGGGAACTGAATATCTCATACGTGCACATGCCCATGTTTATTGGGCACAATTTTAAGATGAACTGTTGAGTTTAAAAGTTGGGAGCCTGGGGCATGCTGGGACTTCAGCTGGTGCTCTGAGGCCCAGCACAGGTACCCAGCTGTTCCTGTTCCCCTGGAAGGTACCGCACCTTGCCCTCAGGGAACAGACCGGCGCCCACAGCCTCGCCAGGCCGCTTGGCCGGCAGATACCTGCTCGCACGCCCAGGCCGCCCGTCACCTGATCCCACCGACAATGAAAACCTCAGCGGTGCCCTCGGTCACTTCAGACAAACTTTCTTTTCTTTCGTTTTTGCTTTAAAGGAAAAAGTTCCACCAAATCTCCGGGATGCCGAGGCGCGGCTCACAGCTCCCAAGAGCCTAACCCGTGGATTTAAACGGTAAACATCACAAGTTAGGGTCTCAGGGATTGAGAGGGGCGCAGCAGGCTCTTTCTCCAGACAAAGCAGACCCGCAGAAGGTGACAGGCGTCTGCTTTAGCTTCAGGGTGAAAAGGCAACAAACAGGTGGCGGTGTCCCTCTCACTGCCCAGCGTCCTGTCCACAGGAATGGGTGCCACGCGGTGCAGGACGCGATGCCCGCGTGCATGGCCCGGGCACACGCACATGCCTGGACACACGGGCGCGGGTGGCCTATGACAATGGCAGGTAACGCGAATAGACCCGGCCATGCCCACGTGTTGGACACCAGGGGCTGTGATCAGGGCCGAGTGTTCAAAGCTTTAATTCGCAACCAGCGCAAACAACTAAAGAAAATGAGGAGGCCCTTCCCCCGGGTGCCCGCGCGCAGCACTGCGGAGTCAGATGGTTAGGAGGAGACGGGGTGCGGGCGGGGTGGGAGCGGGCGGGGAGGGGGGCGCTCGGACTCACCGGCTGGAAGTGGAGCGGCCGCAGCCTCGCGGCTCCACCGGAGCGGACGGCGCTCCGCGCTCGGGCCGGGGCTGCCCTGGAGGCCGCGCTGGCGGGAGGGCGGGGCCGGCCCAGACCGGAGCACAGGCTGCCGCTCCGGGTCGCGCTTGGACCGGAGAGAGAGAAGGGAGGCGATTTTGGTGGGAGTGGAGGAAGGCGGGGGCTGATGGCTTTGAAATCGTTCCGTTAATTCTTTTTTAAATTAAGGGCTGGGAACCGCCCCGAGGCTGCTGCAATCGTCCCGGTCCTTCGCGTGCGCGCCGGCCTCCGGCGTCCGCTCCGGCCGCAGCCCCGGCCCAGGGCGGCCAGCGGCGCGCTGTCAGGCGGGCGGGGAGGTACGGCTGCCGGCGGGCCCCGCCCGGTCCTGGTCGCTTTTGGCCAACAGTCCAGGAATCGGAAGCGCGTTCCCTCCATCTTCTCAGGCGGCTCCTGGCTCTGGGCTGGCCGCGTCCCCATCGTCCTGGAAGCTGAGCAAGAGGCTCCTGCGACGCCTCCCAGATGGAAGGGAAAGGAGGGGAGGTGGGTGGGAAGATAGCTCTCAAAACTGTCCCCTCTCCTTCCTTCCTTCCTCCCTTCCTTCCTTCCTTCCTTCCTTCCTTCCTTCCTTCCTCCCCTCCTCCCCCCCTCCCGCCCTCTCTCCCTCCGTCCGTCTTCAGTCTGAGAAGGTAGATGCTGTCTAGTCCAGAGAGTGACAAAGCAGCCCCTCGAGGAAGACACTGGAGGGGCCTCAAGCGCTTGGCAAAAACGCTAAACATTTGGTTTGTTTCCATGTGCAACTCGACCTGCTAGGGCTCCAGCTCCCCCTCCGAACTGGTCACCGCCAGGAGCTGGACGGCGCCTGCCCTCGTCCAGGTCTGCGCAGCGCCCACCCCCGTGTCCAGGAGCTCACCTCCGAGGGCTCTTCGGGGCAGGCCTCCTGCGGTCCGTCTGTCCGTCTGCTCCCTCTCCTGTCGCTCAGAGCAGCTAGTCCAGCACCATCCTACCAGCCCTCCTCTCTCCCTCCTCTCTCTCCCTTTCTATCTACCTCTTCTCCTTTTTCCTTTACTATCAAAAATAAAAATAATAATGGCTCGTTCGACATGGCAGCATGAAGTGGCTGCCTTTGAGAAAGCACATTTAATCTTTGCTGGCTCCCCTAGGCTCAGTGAAGACGGAGAAGGCAAAAAAAAAAAAAGGGGGGGGGAGAGTGTAAGGGAGGCTGCTGACGGACAGCGAGCATCAGGCACAAATCAGCGACAAGCTGCATTTCCCGAGCCCACACTGCCCCCTTTCTTCTCCTCTCCCTTCCCGGGAAGCCTGCGTGTCTGGTTCCAGGAGCAGCGGGGCTCCGGCCCACAGCGCGCGGGCTCCTAGCTGCCTGCTCCGACCTGCGCTCTGAGCAGAAGAAGGAATCCTGCCCCTCGACTCGCCTGCAGCTTCCCAGGGCCTCCTCCTGTGCCGGGAACCCACTTGCTGCCCCGCTGCTCCGCCCGGCGGGGTCCCCCATACAAAGCTTGTGGTCCTCCCTCCGTTGCTCACTTCCTTCCAGATCGTCCAGGCCAGCCTGCTCGCTAACACCTCCCAGCCTCTCCCTCTGCCGCCTCGTCCCCTCTCCCCTCGCCGGGTGCGCCCAGGCACCCCCTGACTGCTAATGAGACCCAACGCAGGCCGTTCAGGGGCGAGGCAGACGCGGTTTATACCAACACAGACCCGCAGCCTGCAGAGGGTCTTAGCACGTTCTCGGAGCGGATGTGGAGGGGGAGGTGGGGAGAGGGCCACCATGAGCCCTCTAGGTGTGCCCAGCCCCCATGAACTTGAAAACACACATGCAGGGGGTACATGTGATGAATCTTGGCGGGTTTCTCCATGGACAGAAAGTCAAGGATTCCCAGGTCCTTCTTTGAAAGAGGGCTGTAGAGGAATAGGGAGCGGCGGTTTAATCTAGATTTTAAATCTGCAGGCACTGCAGGCTTGTGATGACTCCAGTGCTGAAATTCTTTCCTTTGAGTTGCCAGCTTCGCTCTTCAACTATATTAGCTCTATGTCCTCATTCACCACTCAGGTCCCCTTGGATTTTGAAATGAACGCACCAGTCACTGCAGTTCATCCTAACCCTTTGCTTCTACTGCAGACATTTTCTTATTCCTGAAGCATTCGCTTCAAATGTTCGTCAGATACACACACATCTCCCTGGTCAGGCTGGAGTCCCTGCATAATGATAAGCAGTAATTCAGATGACCACAAGTGGCACAAGAAAGAAATGAAAGGCATACTGAGCTGGGGAGCATTCCCACCATTTCTATTAGCGCATTTTTAGAGCTCAGCTACACAATGATCCTGTCAAACAGGCATCACCCCAAAACTAGGGTCTCTACCTGACTCCACACGCAGTGGGCATGCTGCGTTGGAACCCAGTTTTCCTGGCTCGAGTCATGCGGACAACAGGCCGCCATGCTGTGTAAAGGGTAATGCTGGGCTCTGTGCACAGCAAGGAGAGGAGGGAGCTATCTGAGAATGCAGGCTTCCTCCAAGTCAATATTTTTAAAAGATAGCTTCTTTGTGCTCAACTCAGAGATTATGCTTTGTCTCTGACTGTGAAACCTACACTAGCAGGGCTGTATGCCAAGGAAAAGGAGAAGAAAGAGCACATGCAAATGGGAGCCTCAGAGAGAGGAGAGAGGAGGAAGGGAGAGGGAGGAAGGAGGGGAAGAAGGGAGGGGAAGAGAGGGAATCAGAACAAATAGAGGCAAAAAAAGAGAAAGACCTGCCATCATAGTGTTGGGTTTCATTCAATGCTCCCCCCCCCCTTTTTGTCATTATTGGGAAGGAGGAAGATGGTGGCAGGGGCTGGTGACTAGGTTAGCATTTTTTCTGATTTGTCTAACAGTGTGTTTGGAGTAGACTCTAGAGGAAAAGACGCAGGCTGGGATGGTCATAAAGGGTGGAGCTGTTGAACAGTATCTTTGACTCACTGGGTGCCTCCCTGCAATGCCAAGATGAATCATTCCTAAGCAGAGTAGGTTGTCTCAGTGTGCTTGTACATGGAGGCCAAATTGTGGGCATCACATTATTGCACTCATCTCTAAAAGAAAAGGTAAATAGGGAATGGAATGGACTGGGACTCTTCTAAACCTCTATGCATTTGCAATAATAATTCAGCATGATTTTTACACAGTAAACTAATTTGCCTCATCTATATTCATTCTACTTACAAAGATATACAAATATATGCGTTATGAGTTATGAAAGTTTTGCTATGAACACATCATTTTCTCTATACAACTGAGGGATGTCTTTGGAGGATACTTATTTCAAGCAGTTAACACCTGACCCCAATTTCTGTGGGTAATTAGTGAGCTAGATAACCACACAAAGTGGGTAATTATTTAGTACCCGAGGGGACTCCAGAAGTGGGTAGTGGTTTTGTTAGCAAAAGCACATCTCTAATTATTGTACCTACGATGGGTGTTTTAAAATACCAGTTATACTATATGAAGTGAACCGTGATAAATAAGTGAATATTTTGCTGTCCTTAGTATATTTAATTATAGTTCATAATATTTACCTCTTTTGTATGGAGTGTTGTGAAGATTAATTAGTTAACATATTTAAGACTCTGGGAGATAAAATGTGGTAAAGAGCTTCTAAATATAGTATTATTATTATTGTTATTAATATCTTGGCTAATAATCCCAGGATGGGAGAAGTTTAAGGAGTAGATGCAATTGTCTTTTCTACATGTTGATTAGAAGAGAATGTTGGAAGTTAATTCATTGACAGTGGCTTAAGGCGGATTCCAGGAGCCAGGAGAGGAGATGGAGAAAGCGAGAAGCAGAAGCTGGAGCCAGGGGTGAGCAGGAAGCCGCTGAATCAGCCCACCACGCCCTCCTTCTCAAGTCTCCCGTCCTTCCCTCTGATGAGTAACAAATAGGCACAAAAATCCCCAAAGAAGACATTCCTGCAGGCAGAGGGACCAGCTGATCCTAACCAACCCAAGCAGCCCATTGTGCAGCATTTATTCTGGAGAAGAACCATCAGAACCAATGCTTTTAGCAAATGCAGGCACAGCTTTAAGTATTACGATGTGGAAACAGGCACACCCAGGTCATGTCAGGGATGCCACCTGAGCAGCAAGGAAGAACACTTTCCAATCTCTTGCCTTTATGAATCCCATCCAGGACAGTAAGGGGATATCAGTGTATTTTTTCTGAGAAAGAAAAGGAAAAAAAAAGAAAAGGCAACCTTATGATTCAGGGATGTGATTCTCCAGAGCAACCAGGCCTAGGGAACAAAAAAACAGCAGAAGCTCACTCTTCTTCCTCTGTCCTCGCCCGGCTCCTGGGCCGGCTGCCTGGGTCTGGCTGGGGCAGGACAGATAGCGGCCTTTGGGATCCAAATCTTGAACATTTTTTTCTTTCAAAGCAAGGCTGTCCTGGGGATGAATCACAAAGATACTGTATTCAGCCAAGTTCACAGTACCTATGGCCCAGGAAAGGGGAAGAGCCCCTGTGAGACCCGCTGACGGGAGGGTGCAGGACACGTGTTTGCGCCATGATTGGAAGCCATGGTGCGATGATACGTTTTAAGAGTTTGGGGGCAAAGAGAACATTTTTCCAAAATCCACCTTAACCGAGGCTTCTGAGCCAAAGCCCAGTGTTTGTCACCCCCTCTCAGAACCACAAAGGCCACGTCATTCTCCAACCCCGGGTCCCTGTAAGCCCAGACTGTGTGGACTCACCCCCCTGCATCCTGCTCCACACACTGCTCTGAGCCAGCTTTCACCCTGAACTTCCTCCCTGGGCCTCCCGCTGCCCCTGCCTGGGTCTGGCTCCTGGTCTGGTTTCAAAGGCCCAAGGCAACTACTTCTTCTCTCCCCTCATCATTGTAAACACATGCTCTCCCTTCTCCAAATTTTTATGTCTAAAATGTTTTCAGGTTTGACCGTTTCTTTCATCTGTGGCCACCAACATCTCCTCTCACGCTTAGTTGACTTTTTTGCCATATCAAAATATATAGTTCTATCTCATGGTATGGACTGCAAACCCCAAAGTCTGCTGCCAGCATATCCCCACGCCCAGCCCTCCTCTACCCACATTAACTTATCTGACAATTCATCTCAGGGCATTTCCCAAAAGCTCACCTGATAAGAGCTGAAGCCAGTGGAGAACAGTGGTGTGTGTGTGTACTGACCTAATTATATGAATGCAGCACAAAAGGGTCTGATGTACAGGAGCAGAAGGAAGAACAGAAGAAAGGAATCTGGTGTAGTTGTAGATATTTAGGATATAAGCAACAGAAGCTGATTATTGCAAGAACTTACAGAGAAAAATTTATATTTTTAGGTATATACCAGAGGCCCGGTACACAAAATTCATGCACTTGGAGGGAAGGAGGGGCCCCTCAGCCCGACCTGCACCCTCTCGCAGTCCAGGAGCCCTTGGGGGATGTCTGAGTGACAGCTTAAGCTAGCGGACCTAAGCCATCAGTCATCAGTCGAACATCCTTAGTGCTGCCATGGAGGCAGGAGAGGCTCCAGCTGTGAGCCCAGGTTCTGGGAGTGCACTGTGTTGAGTGTCTGCCCCCTGGTGTTCAGTGTGCATCACAGTGACCAGTTGTTCCGCCATTTGGTCGACTTGCATATTAGCCTTTTATTATATAAGGACTAGTGACCCGGTGCACAAAATTAGTGCACATTAAAAGGAAATTAATTAGAAAAAAATATTTTAATATTGCTATTTGCCCTTTCTCTATAATAGAAGTGTCAGAGATGAAAGAAAATTAGTAAAATGTATATGAAAATCTCCCTCCTGTCAGAGTCTAGGGTGCACCACAGGAACCAGAGTCAAGTCCCTGCCCACCCACGTGCACCTCAATATCACGTGAGACCCAGGCCTGGCTTGCCCCACCCGCATTGGGCTAGATCCAGACCCGGCCAGCCCCACCCCTGTCAAGCCCCACTGGGTGGGGGTTGCAGCCTCAGGTCACCTGGCCTGGCGCCGGGGTGGGGGGCTTGGCCTGAGGTCCCCGGCCCCGGCCCAGCACCACACAGCCTCAGGTCACTGCTGATTGCTCATTAAGGCTCATTAGGGGAACTCGGCCTCCACTGTGGGCACAGCCATCTTGTGTTATGGAACCCCTGCCTCCACTGTGGGTGCAGCCATCTTGACCTTTACGGTGTGATGGTCAATTTGCATATTCCCTCTTTATTAGATAAGATATGTGTGTACATACACACACATACACACATCACACATTTAGTCCATATCAAACCTCTACCACACAATACACTAAGTTTACCTGATATCTGAAAAGCTGTTTCCCATGCTGTGAGCAGTGATAGGGCCACATGGATCTGCAGTTCAAAGTGCATATGAAGACTTTCAGGATGGGCTGGAAGAGGAAGACAAATGCTCACCAATCACCTGCCTCCCTTCACCCTTTGCCCACCTCCCCCTGCCCTAGCCTCTCCCTGGCTTTCACACACTGCTGTCTGTGTCATGGTTATGCATACATGTCCTTTGACCAATCCCTTCCCCTTCTTTCATGCAGTCCCCCCTCCCCTCTGAGACCCATCATTCTGTTCCATG